TATTTATTTGTGCTCACTGCTCGCACATCTAATTCGACAGCTAAAAATAATTCCATTAAGTGTCTGTATTGCTATTATTACAAAACCACATTATAGACATGGTATCCAATTATTTATTATATTTATCTTGTTTTCAATAATTCATTAATTTCTCAATTCTTGGAACGTGTTGTACGGCAAATGCAATATTACGTTTTTATTATAATCCTAATAAATTATTTCTTTTACCCTATAATAAATGACATTTTTCTGGGAAAATTTTTTTAAAAAATGAAATTAATTATTGCAAGACCGCAAGATTCTTGCAGTGTGAGTCTTGTTTTGGACTTGGTCTTGGTCTTGCAGCAAGAACAAGACCAAGACTAAGACTGCAAGACCAAGATAATTTTGCCCATCACTAGTTATGGGTTAGGTTATATGTTTTTCACCCCCGATACATTGGACGCCTCCCCCCCGATCAGCACTAATTCCCCCCGGACAAAAAATATAAATACAAATATTAAACAGGTGGGAAATATTTCTGTCTGGGGGGCTAAACGTCCAGTAAGTACGGCTAATTTTAACAAGTGGAATAGCACGTTGTCGGGGGGGGGGGGAAATCTAAATACCATTAGTCTTAGACTCTTAGCTTAGCCTATAGCAGTATAGCCTAGTCTACAGATTTTGAATCATGTGCTAACTAGTATATGGTCGATTTGGTTATGCATATTATCAAACGTTTTCAATCAGAAATATAAGATGTCAGAGTTCCATTGAAAAAATACCAAATTACAAGACTTATATTATTTAAGCAGTATAATATAAGTATCTAGAGCATATCATGTTTGTTTATTTAGTAACAATAAAAATGCGGCAGACTCCATACGACCATACCTAAGCATTTTAAACAGATGTATAATCGTTGTTATATACGTGGCCAAATACAGAAGGCTAAATTATATTTACTAAAACGAAATTGCTTTTGAAATGTAATTGTGCGTTTAGAACATAAAAATATTTTAAACATTCAAGTACCATTAAATAATATTTTTAAGCTACAACCAGTTAATTAAAGTCAATATTTTTCGTTTAAATATCTACCTAATTTCACCGAAAATTATACACTAAAAATCTATAAAAAAAACTGTTTTTTCAAATTAAATTGTTTGCATTTGTTTTGGGTGTGTTTCATGCTCTGGTCGATTCACTCTCAAGACCCTGATTTTTAATGCATTTTCTGCTTATTTTAATATTTTTGGACATATATACTAGCATATTTTAGAATTTTGATCTTGATTATTATTTGCACTATAATTAAAACGTTTTTAGGGCAAAAAAACGTCGATCTCTTTATTATAATATAACACGTATTATACATTTGCACCTAATTAAACGATATACTTATACTTTTTATCGTTTTCATATGTACCTATATATAATATTATGATAAGTTTATAATATAAATTGACATAGCCTTGTATAATGTATCTAATCGTTTCAATAGTACTATCATTGGTTGTATCTATATCGACTAGTTGTAATTCATTCGACACCCGAGAGTGTCGAGCTCACAAAAAGTTAACCTTCCCTAAAGTCCAAATCGCGAGACAGAAATAACAACACTGTAATGTACAGACTACAGGGGCGCCGAACTATAAAAATATATATAGGGCATATCATATTTAACAACATACCCACCCATCCACCTTACCGAAATATTCATTTAGGTTAATTATTATTTCTTAGTTGCACTTTAGGAGACAGTTATAAAATAGATATATGTAATGTATTTTTAATAAGATAAATAAAATATTTGGTTAGGTCTACCAACTGCTATCCACACACCCACGACCCACCCACTTAACTATGTAGGGCAGTCGCCCTACATCAATATGGGTTTCAGCGCCCTTGGTAATGTACTAACTGACAGAAGATAAATTACATTTTCACTGAATATTTATATTAGCATTTTCGATACATAATACATTCTCAAAATATTTTGACTCATCTTGAACTATTTATAGACTCTATTGTCGCATGTTGTTTTTTGATTGTGAATTTCAACTTTTTTCTAAGATTACCAGTTGAACACTCATACGAATGGTCTAATTATAAAATATGATAAAATACGCTTACTATAAATACTTTGGGACCAAGGTGAAATGTGTTAATTAACCGATTGTTTCTAATAAGCTATCAGATTAATCTTTAAGATGGCAAAAAATGAAAAATATATAATTATACCTATTACAAAGGGTACTCAAAAAAATTTTAAAATATGCATTGTATTATAAACTATGTACAATTTAAAAAAAAATGATTGTATTATGCAGTGAATTTAACTGTGTATATATAATTTAAAAAGTAGGTACATATAAATATATATATATATTTTACTATTTTATTTAAAATATCTATCTATCGATATTTGTTATTTTGCGTCAAGTAACTCAATGGCCATACTTTCGTGCGAGTTTTCATTATTAATTTTTTTAAGCACATAGATAGTATGACTTCGATAACTCGACCTTCTGTTTCAAACTTAAATCTTTGGACTTTTAGACATTTTAAGATTTCGTCAAATCAACTTTAAGTACTCACTCCGGAGCTGAATTACAAACGATGTACGTATAGGGAAGACCATTTTTATAATAGCTACTGTATTTACGATAAAGTACAGTAAAGATAAAAGTATCTAACGACAGAAAATATAAGATTAAAGTACATTGGTGATCGCCGGATAACCTGTGTAATGAGTATAATATAGATACTCATAAATATACTAAACATATATATATACAAGTTTAGGTAAGGTTATGTACATAAATGTTATGTATAAATATTTAATATATAAATATATATTTAGCCAATTTTTTTTTCGAATAACAGATGTGATGTTTCAATAATCCGATTTATTTTCAATGTTCTGGAATACGGCTGGTCCGTTCTGGGACATTTTGTTTCTATATGGCAGTTGTATTAAAATATGTATTAGAAACTTAAAATGTGCTCCTATTGTCAAAAATATGTCGTTAAACTTAAAAAATTTAAAATATGCAACAATTTACAACAACAACTTTAGTAGGTATTTAATCACATTTATTTCAAATTCATAGATCATAAGATCCAAATACAATATAAAAATGATATAATAATTCAATATTATGACTAATTAAACTGATAATATAATAATCATATATTCATACATATAAAAATGTATGTTTTTCTGTCTTATTATCTACTTTTATTAAGTCTTTTTTTTTACTTCTTACTATTTACACGACATAAAATGTTATTGGTCTTGTCAAAAACCTTGAAAATGTAATAAAATAAGGGTACTGATATAATATATTTCATGTATTAGGTGAAAAATATAGTGATACACATTCACGATTTTTTTTACAAGCATTTATTGTTCAAATTTTCAAATTTTCAACTAATTTTACTGTTGAAAACTTAAAACAATGTTCTATGGTTCTATGCAAATAGATTATTCTGTAATCAAAAAATCTAAAAATGTATAAGCACAGTTTTTTTTTAGATTTTTTATGTTCAAATTATTCAAAAGTTATATTTAAACGAAAAGGCTGTAATAACAGATAAAAGAAGTAAATTATGGGAAGAAGCAAACATTGAAAAAGGAGTTAGACAAGGGTGTAACTTATCACCAACACTATTTAATCTGTACTTGAAAATACTTTAAAGCAATAAAGGGAAGACGAAATTGGAGGAATTAAAATTAACGGTATGCTAGTACAAATGTTGCACTTTGCAGACGACATAGCATTGATTGCGGAAAGTGAAGAAGCTTTAGGCAACATGTTAACAAAAATGAATGATAGCAGTAAAGAATACAAAGTGAAAATAAATAAGAGCAAGACAAAAATATTAATATGCAGCAAGCAGGAATGGTAACCGGCCAATTTATTTTGCCGAAAGACATTTTGGCGAATCTTTTTTGGCTAATGGATATACCGGCGAACGAATATATCGGCGAATGGATGTATTGGCGAAACCACAAGACCTAACCAGAAATTTAAAAATTTAAATTCCATATTATATAATTCAATAATTTAGTCAATAATAACTTAATAAAATAGATGTCCTAGGACCATATGTAAGTATATAATAATAATTAATAAATAACAAAAATAATACTTAAATAAATATAATATAATATAAATATAAATAATACTAAAAATGTAAAAGTCAATTTTGTATGCCAAACTTTTTAAATATGGTATTATGTCTTGGTTTGAATAATTTTCCACCTTCGTTTTTATATTTTCTGTGGTTCTTTTCCATTTTAATTTCTGTTTTGCTTCTTTGCCAGCCTCAATGTGTACCACTTTTAATTTAGTTATGGACTACTGTACTTTCGTCCACCAATTTTGGTTTCGACCTAATCGTTAATGTACTCATAGTTAATAAAAAATAATACAGTAACAAAATAACACAGTATTTAAATATGGAACGTGGACCGTTTGATTTCAACTTGATCACCAACACATTGTAACTTTAAAAACACATTCCAATACGTTATTACAGTTTAACTGATAAACGATAGTTATCGTTATGACATTATCGGCCAAATAACAACATTATAATCGAAAATACAATTAAAGATTAAACCCGTGACCACGAAATCCCGATAACTTATTTACTTATTTATTTTTATTAAAATAGAATTTGTACGAAATTGGGTAGCAAAATATGTACAATAATCAAATACGAAAAGTGATAGAGAATAGTTGTTGGTTAGGAATTTATTGACGTATTAAATTAGAAACAAACTCTGTGTTACGTATAATTAAATATTTGTGTTTAATGTAATTTCGCCGATACATCCATTCGCCGATATACCCGTTCGCCGAAAAAGTTTAGCCGTAATCTCTTTCGCCGAGATATCCTATAACCAGCAGGAATTGCTTTCGAACATAACGATTGAAAATTGGAAGCTGGAAACTGTTCAATGTTTTACATATTTAGTAAGCAAAATAACACATGATGGAAGAAGCGAAATGGACATAAAGGGTAGAATAGCACAAGCAAAACAAGCATTTTACAAAAAGAAGCACCTATTGACGGCAAACACTGTTAGCTTAAACACCAGGAAAAATCTTATAAAGAGTTTTGTATGGAGTATAGCCCTCTATGGGGCAAAAACATGGACGATACTAAAAGCGAAAAGAAAAAAGATTGAAGCATTTGAAACATGGTGTTGGAGCATTGAAAATTTCTTGGACAGAGAAAGTTAGAAATGAAGAAGTATACCTAAGAATGAACGAACAAAAAGCAATATGGCAGACAATCAAAGAAAGGAGGAAAAAATGGATCGGACATATTATGAGAAATAATGAATGGATAACGACAATAATAGAAGGAAAAATAGAAGGAAAAGCAGGAAGAGGTAGACCAAGAACACCATTTATGAAACAGATCATAGACGATAAAGGGAAAACCAACTATAAAGAACTAAAAGTAGCTGTAATGGATAGGGATAAGTGGAGAGCCATCAAAGTCATTTAAAACCAATCTAAGGATTGAAAGAAAAAAAAAATGTTCAAAATTAGACGAAATTACATACTAAATAAGTAATAAAAAAATATAAAAAAATATCACTCGTGGGTACTTGAAACATTTAAATTAATTATCATATTTTATACCTACAATGACATTTCAAATGTATTTTTTTGTCAAAAATGCATTTAATCTACCATAACAATAATAAAATAAATTACTTTAATCACAATAATATCATCAAATACACTAAATTACTAAGTAATATTTTAGAATGGCAGACCGCCTTCGTTCATAATCGTTCATTATGTACAATGCTTATAGTTATCAATGAATTAAAATTGTACACCATCCATTACAGTGACCCACTTGTAACCCATTGTACAGCAGAGTGACATCCACTTATACATTTTGTACACTGTCATTTTATTGGAATGGAATCACAAAACAAACTTTTCAAATTAAAATATAGAAAACCAAAAAAATAAATAATACATGTTTTTTTTTTCAAATTTTCAATCATAATGCTAAAATATGCTCTTATATTCACAAATACATTGAAACATGCAGTAAATGCATTACATATAAGGATCAAAATCTTGAATCTAACACTCCTATAACAAATCTAAAAAATATATTAAAAAACAGTGTTTTTTCATAGAAATATTGTGTTCAATTTTTTCCAAATTGGATATTTGAACAAAAAGTATCGATTTTAGTTTACTGGTTGTAATTTTAAAATATTACTTGTGGGCATTTGAAGCTGTTTTAGTATATTGTTATTTTTGTACACACAATAAAAGCAATCAAACGCAATTTTGTTTTTATAAATACAATTCAGCCTACTGTATTTGGCCACGTATATTATAACGATTATACGTCTGTTTAAAATACTTATGGCCTCTTCCACATGTTTATTGTAACTGAATAAACAATCTATTTACATTACTTATATCATTTTCCGAAATAGAATATTTTAGGTGAATTCCATATTTTCATACATCAATAATATGCTAATTTGAACAATATATTAGTATTAAGTTTTTAAACTATTGAGAAGTAGATTTGAAAAACAAAGTTTTTTTTTGGTGAAAATTATATTTATCTATTCAGCGTTACTCTCAAATCGTATAGATATATACCACTTAACAAAAAAATAAACTACAACCCAACCAGAAAGGAAAATAATTTGATATAGAAAATTGACACCAAATTTATACTTAGGTAATAATAATGAGTTGTAAAATAAAAATGTAATATATGTAAATATGTTGCTACATACTTATGTAACATGAATTGCTATACAATTTGCATACACAGTGAAAATCTGTTTAGTTCATTAGTAAGGTTCAAACAATTATTTATAAAAAATACTTTAATTTTAAGTATTTGTATTAATTATACTCAAGATAAATTTACTGTCACTGAGTATTAAAATGTATATAATACTTTTCAAAATATCATTTTCTGTACTTTAATTCATTTAAAAAGTATTTTTGGCATGTATTAATTTTACTCCAGTATTGTGCTATATTCTATTAGAGTATAATTATATAAAAGAGCCATGTATAATGTAGGAAAATGATCTGTTTTCCAAGATTTTGATTTTGAAATAATTTTATATTTTTTTCCCCGATTTCAACAAACGAAACGTAATTGCACAATTTACCTATATAATATGTAATATGTAATATCATCTAACCATTTGGCTACATTTTGTCAATTTTTTATCCATAACTAAAACAACGCGATATATTATACGATACAACCGTAACTCTTATAATATGTTGTATAAATAATTATTACACTTTCATAAAACTTTATTTATGTATGGTGACAAACTACTAATATGGTTATAGGGTAATATTTTAATAATGCATTAATGCATTAATTTTATGTTATACGACGTAACTGGTAACTGTGTACCTTGGGTTTTAGAGTAGATTGTTATGCACTGCAGTTAAGTCGGAAACTTCGTTAACCCGATTACTGTTTGCGTGTTTTTATTTATGATTATATTAAATTTAGAATGTTTGTTACTCATAAAAAAGGAATGTAATTTACGTTTAAAATTGTCATGCGCAGTGTCAGTTAATGGTTGCTGTGGGTGGGGGTACGACTTTAATATAATATCATTAGTCATATGTATAACAAATTAAATATATTAAAATAGTATATTATATTATAATTGTATTATCAGTAAAAACATTAAATTATATTTTTTGAAATATTTCAGGCAGTAGTGGAAATAAAATTCATAATATTTTATCATATTATGGTACTATGTTGTACCTATACTGTAGTATGAACTATGTTACTAGTTACCATAGTATAGTATGGAAATATTGGTACTGAAATAATATATTTTTATGTTTAAAAATACTAATTGTCAATACCATTGCCGACCACGATGCACGTATCCGTGTTCATTTTAAAAATACATTTTCTATTACATTAAAATATTCTATACGGTCGACACAGCTGGTGGTCCAAAACACGTATATTTTTAAGACTGTGGTTTCTATACACGCAGGCGCACGATTTTGTGCCTTCGCTCATATTATGGCATGCATTGGGTTTTGTGTTAAAAACCCTTTATTTGCACAATCGTTAAAAACGAAGTACGACGTTCAACAAAAAATACTGAATAATAACATTCTTATGTTTAAAAAGGAGGGGGAGCAAGTCGCTTATGAAAGTCATCAAGACATTTTATTTTATTTCATTTATTGTTCAACGTTCATATTATTTCCATTACAATCTTATATTAAAATGTTTTTTTTAAAACATTGTTTAATAACTATAACAATTGTAGTTATTGCAATTTCGGTTAGGCCAGCCATCACAGCTAATTTGGATATCAAACGACGTATGTATTGATTATTGTTAGATGATGATTGTATTTTTATTATTAATTATAGTGTTGATATAGATAACAAGTGAATTGTAAATTTGTTTAGAATTAATAAATAAACTGAAATCAACTTTTACTATATGACTATTCAGATTAGTACAATTTATGCTATTTACTAGATTTTAATTGTGCCTATAATATAATAGTATGATCTAGGTATAGTAACAATTTAATATCCATCGATCTAAAAAAAAAAACAATTCTTTGATTCTAGTGGGAAAATTTAAGTTCCTGTATAATATCACATTTGTATAATCTTATATTAGTATACGTAATCTGCAGCTGAATAATTCATTTTAGTTTATAAATCGTTTTACATTTATAATTACATGAATTGTTTAATTTTTAGAGTATTGTGAAAGTACGTAAGCCTTATAATTTATAATAAATATAAATTTGATTATGATACACCACTTATTTAAATTCATGAATAGGGTATATTATATTATGTTTTCTTAAATTATAGTTTGGTAAAAGGTTTCATAAATAATCACTATTTATATTTAATAAATCAATTGTAATTTTGTTTGTCTTTCAAATAACAATAAGTGGCCCTAGTTCATTACAGATTGTTCTGATTGTTGAACCATTACATTACATAGTTGTTTATGTTCACAAACACTAATAAGGATAATTTTAAAATGTTATAGTTCTTCTAAGAAATTTCTGTGGATTTAAAAGTGAGTTAATTGTACAAATAAGATATTTTATTTATGTTACATTATTTTTTTAAAGTATAATATTCAAAATAAATATAAATAATAAGTATTATCGTCTACTGGTTTGATAATCATAAAGTCAATGTATTATTTATTTATTCTATTTAGTTTAAGTTAAATTTTTACCAAAATATGTTTATTTTATCGTTATCTGTACATTATCAAATTTTAAAAATATTTGGACTCTTAAACTATTTGTATACATTTGAATTTCATTTTATTTTATTAATTTTTTCTATGAATGCCAATAATAATATTGAATTGTTTTTTTTAAATGCTTGAGAATTCAATTCAAGCTTAATCATGAGTTTTTATAATAGTCGTTAAGTAATATTAAATAATAATGGAATAATTATTTTTAAAGTATCTATATGAAATTCATATACTAATACAATTTATTAAAATATCAAAAATGTACAAATTATCTTGTAGTTCGAAATGTATAATACGTTCATATATTTTACAGATATAGATTGAAATGTTGAAACTTAGATTCTCATAATAAATTCGTATTGTATAAGAATCTAAAAATTATTACGACCAGGTTTTTTTTTAAAAATTATTCGCTAAGCCCGGCAACTACGGTCATTAGCTGTTTTTGTAGGTTTGTAATATGTATAGGTTTGTTGATTTGTAGGGTTGAGGAACGGTAGACTTAACTCGCGTATGTTTTTGTGTTTAGCAGAAATTTGATTTGGTACCCGTAGGTTTCTGGCATGCCCAGTTGGGGGATGCGGTCTCTCTCTCCAGACACATGACTACTGCCCGGAGAAAAGTGCCACCCGTGACCGAGGTTCGAACAGGTGACGGCGCAAAGTTGCAACCGACGCTTTAGTCCACTAGGATACTCCCTCCACCACCCCTTGTTATTATTTATTAGATTTTTAAGTTTAAATTTTGATGAAATTATATATTAAATATCTAAACACAGAATAGAAATCATTTATTTTTTGTTGAAATTTAAATATATTATTTGTTTGTATTCGAATCTTGCAAAGATTATTTTAATATTTTATTAACACAATAATTTTCGAATGCAATGTTTTTTTGAAAAAATCAATTCAACCCACTTTAGTAAGTTCGATTACGTCTGACAGTCTGTCTTCGCTGAGAATCATTTTTCGTGTTAAATAGATTTATATTATTGAATAAATATTGACATAGGTATCCTTTACGGTCACCAATATTATTGTATTATTTTTTGATATTTTTTATGAGTCCAAAAACAGAGTTAAACTTTATAATACAGTGGTCGCCGCTTAATGTAATCACTTTGGTACGGGATAACATAATCCGATTGATATAACACTAAACGAAAAGTTAAAAAAAATAATAAAACCTGCGTTATATATGTAGGTATAAATTGGAAATTTAAAAAAATAAAATAAAATAAAAATAAATATGTATAATATGTACGGATGCGTACAAACGCGATACTGGTCGACGAGCAGCGACGGTACTGTCTTAATGCAGTAGATATCAATGTGTTACATTTATATCTTTGTTACAATTTTTATCTTTATTATGAGACATTTGGAGAAATCTTAAATTATTGTATGTTACAAAATGTTGATTTTATGACCTCAAACTGATAGTATTATGCGGCGTATTGATTCAAATAGCCGACATAATTTACACATATAACTATATAAGTCTTAGATCATATACACTGGATAGAACTATAGCGTATATTACGTGTAGTCCGTGTTTGAAGCAGACCTGTTCATGCCCGAAGTACTTATTACGCATGCGTGAGAAATGAAATAGATCGCTCGGGACGGGGAAGGAACAATAATGTGTTATAGTGATAAGGACGATTAGGTAGCGAATGCTTAGAGCCAGGCACGCCCGCAGAGATGTAGCTCACTAGGTACAAAATATTTTTAATATCAATATAGGATGTGGGGGGCTTTGCCCCCCACACCCCCTAACACTTATTACATGACATATATTATTTATCATCAATAATGGGTATATCAAAATATATTAAAAACATAATTCAATTTATTTATTACTTCTTATAAAATATAAAAATTAGATAGAATTTTAGATGTATAACACACACATACATATATATATATATAAATAATAGTATACCACAGAATAGATGTCAGATAACGAAATTCATAATAATATTATTATTTATTAATGACCAAAATAAATGTATTAATAGACTCGTGGTTAGACGTGACTGTGTACAGTACTAAAATGCGGCAGACGGTGGTATCTCAGAATAGCCAGATGCCAGAATAGCTAATAAGTATTTAATATTTACTATATTGGGAATAATCATGGGCATAAATTAAAAATGTACAGAGAAGGAATTTTTATATTTTATTATTTATTTGAAAAATCCAAATTATTAAAATTCTCAGGTGGTGCATTTGCACCACCTGCCCCCCCCCTCCGGGCGTGCCTGCTTAGAGCAGTGGTTTTCAACCTGGGGGTCACGAATGATAGGTTTGGGGGTCGCCAAAAATAATAGATGAAATGATTTTTCCATTTTATTTAAAAATAAAATAAAGTTAATTTTTAATTTTGTTTTATATAGAGAATTATAGATTATAGAACATGCTGAGGAGCGTATAATCTTAATTTTTTATTTTTTATCTTATCGATAGCGGATATGGATTATTAAATTGTTCGTAACTCGTATCATATACATAGGTATATTTGAACAGTTTCAGTCGGAAATATTTATAATAATCAGTTCCTACTTAGGTGTCATTCGTGCAGTACATGTATCTCACGCGATATAAAGTACGTTACTTTACTGTTTTAAAATGGAAAAATTTTTAATTAAACGCGCAAGTACAAGTGCAAGTGCAAGTGAAAATAAAAAACGTAAACTGTCGGAAACAACAACGGACCAGCCTATCAACGAGGAATTGGAAGAAAAAAAACTTTAAATGTTGAGAACCAAAAAAAAGAACGTAAATTTCAAGATCAGTATATACAATTTGGATTTACTTTTATTGAAGAAAAAGGTAAACATCGTCCTAAGTGTGTAATATGTTTAGAAATATTGGCTTCCGAAAGTATGAAACCTTCTAAACTTAAACGACATTTAGAAACGAAACATCCGCAATATAGTAATAAAGATGAACAATTTTTTAAAAGACATGAAAATGCATTAAATATTCAAAACAAAGTTATAAATAAATTTTCTACAGTTTCACAAAAAGTTTTAGTTGCATCATTCGAGGTTTCATACTTAATAGTAAAAACAAAAAAACTGCATTCGATTGGCGAATCTCTTGTCTTGCCAGCTGCTATAAAAATTGTAACGGCTATGCACGGTGAGGCATATGCAAATGATTTAAAATCAATTCCATTATCTGATAATACTGTTATCACGTTGGATTTCAAACATATCTGATGATATATTAAAACAACTTTTAAATATATTGCGAAGTAATTATTTTGCAATGCAACTGGACGAATCTACAGATATCTCTAACTTTTCTCAACTTCTGATCTATGTCAGGTATATTTACAAAGAAGACATTTTAGAAGACTTTTTATTTTGTCAAACTTTAAATGGCAGGACTGGTAATGACATATTTACCCTTATTAATGAATTTTTTGAAAATAATGAAATTTCGTGGTCAATGTGTAAGGCCATTTGTACAGATGGTGCAGCAGCACTTACTGGATCAAAGAAAGGTTTTAGAGCTAAAGTTAACGAAATTTCACCAAGTATACTATTTACTCATTGTATGATTCATAGGGAAGCTTTAGCATCTAAAAAACTTGAACCATTTGTCAACGAAGTACTGCAAAATGCTATACGTGTAATTAACTTTATAAAATCAAAATCATTCAATTCTAGATTATTTACGATACTGTGTAATGAAATGGAATCTGATCATACAAAACTACTACTTCATACTGAAGTTAGGTGGTTATCCCGTGGTAAAATATTATTAAGAATTGTTGAGCTTAAAGATGAAATACGAATTTTTCTCCTTGAACATAAAAATACACTCGCAGAACACTTCTTAAATGAAGAATGGTTAGCAATTTTAAGTTACCTTGCCGATATTTTTGAAAAATTAAATAATTTAAATTTAAGTCTTCAAGGTAAAAATACAAATATATTAATTCTCTCCGATAAAATCGATGCTTTTAAAAAAAAAAGGTTTGTGGATAAATTATATTAATAATGAAAACTTCGAAATGTTTTCATGTTTTTCAGAATTTATTGCTGACAATGAAATATTTGATATTAACCTTTTCACTGCTACGGACGTACTATTACGTCGCACGCAAACATACCGTTCCCTGCTACGGACGTACTATTACGTTCCTGTATCTATAAAAAGAAAAACGCACGTTATCTCATTAGTGATTACACCGAAAAATGCAGAAAAATTAAACGAGTTTAATGGTATAAAAAAAACGTTTCTATGTTCATTGTGGTAGGAATGAAAATGTATTTAACATATTATTTATTCCAGTTGTTACTAAAGTGACGCTGTTGTGTTAAAAAAAAAAAACACAAAATTAACTCAGCAGAGAAGAGTATTTTAGGAAAAAAAAACTTAGCAGTGAAAAGGTTAAAAAAATAAAAGACATAATATTAGTTCATCTCAACAATTTGGAAAACCATTTTAACATACGGTTTGAAAAGTTTCCAGAAAGAAGTTGGGATGGATAAGAAATCCATTTTCTATTAATATAAATGAAATGAATTCTGAATTAAGTTTAGTTATGAACGAGGAATTAATTGAGTTATCTGCCGATGAAAATCTGCGTATAAAATTTAATGAAACTACAAGTGATAATTTTGGAAAAATAAAATCAGAATACTCAGAATTGTCAAAAATAGCTGTATCAACACTTCTGCCACTTAGCTTTGTGAAACGGCGTTTTCAGCTCTTACAGTTATAAAAAACAAATATCAGACAAAATTAAACTTAGAATCAGATCTAAGAGTTGCAGTCTCTAATATAAAACCTAATATTGAAACAATCATTTCAAAAGCTCAAGCTCAAGTATCCCATTAACAACAGTTTATGTATTATGTATTTTTTTTTTATATTTAAATTTATTGTATATGCTTGTATTGTTTTAAAATAATGTTGTATTATGAATTAATTAAATTTTTAAGTGTAAATTAATCAAAATCGTATAACATATAAATATTTTTTCAGTAATTAAATCAAATTTTGATGAATAAACCAACATTCTTTTTTGAAGGGGGTCGCAGTATAAAAAAAAAAATAAAAATGGGGGGTCGCGACCCAAAAAAGGTTGAAAACCACTGGCTTAGAGCATATACTTTGCTCATGCGCAGTGATAAATTCGGGCACGAACAGGCCGAACAGCCATGCTTCAAGATTTTAAACCATAGCTCTATCCAGTGTATATGATCGAAGATATACGAAGTATACATTCGACCCGTACTTATACTTTCCGATAACAATAAACGTTTGATAACATTAACCGTGATTAAAATAAGCGGTGACCACTGTATATATTTAGAGTAAATTTTATATTATTATGTAAGGGCTCATAAGTATTTCGATACTTATTAATTTATTTGATGTAAGGATATTGATTCAAAACAAATAGTAGTTATTGGACTCTCGCTGTAGTGTAGTTTGGTGTGCGATATACTTAATATTTGATAATTATTACTACAATTCTGTTATAATCTACCTATGTAGATTTATTATTGTTTATTGTGGTGTATATTTTGTGTAAACTACAAAAAGCAACATGTCATCTGAATTTTTTATTTAAATGAAAAACCGACTATAATTAATGCTTTGTACGATGATAAGTAATATCTATATAATGTTTATCTTAACTAAGTATAACTAAAAAATATAAGATAGTAATAGAACCCTTACACTCCTTATCCATACGAAATTCTTAGCGTGCGTCCACTGTAACATCTTAAAAAAAATAAGGAATGTTTCATTGCATAAGCACATAAATGCTGCTGTTTCACTACCTAGTGCATTTAATAATGCTGAGTATATAGTAGGTATAGTCCTTCGAAATATAATACTTTAATGATACATTTTCAGATACTGTGAAAGATTACATAGCAGTTGAATTCAATGGTATTTATTAACCTAACCTAACAAAATAGTAATCATATTATATTATATTCAAGGACTGTTGATATTACTTTTAAATTGTAATCATTAAAATTTTAGTCAAAAATCTGTTGCCAATGCAAATCGTTTTATAAATATAAAAACAAATAAACCTTTTTATTATTGTATTTAATTTATTCTATTTGATTTTTAGTGGCCAATTGTAAGTATTTTCATTGTTTTATTTTCGTTAGTCAAGTTTTACAAATTGATTCATAGAATATACAGTTTGCTTTTGTAACAATTTACAGATTACTTTATTATGACTTGTCTATGAGACAGATTATCAATAAGCCAATCATTATAAACTTTATTAACTAAATAATTATAATTAAAATATATAAATACGGTTAACAGCTGTTAGTTTCTACTTTGTGATTCAAGGTTAGGTTAGGTTAGGTTTCTTTTGGTATAAGTTGTAAATTTGACCTTATTTAAAGTTGATAATGAACTCATTTATGTACTTACAATATTCCATGTTGGTACCTACTCTCATTTTTATGACTTCAGGTACTCACTTTTATTGATTTAAATGAAACATTATTTTAATTAATCGTGTTTAATTTTTTCATGTTTACAAAAAAAAAGTTTAGTCAAAATTGATTTTCAAATTTCAATGATAAAATTAAATCACATGATTTAGGTACACAAGAAAAACAATTTAAACATATTTGTTTTTCCTATATGTTTTGAGTTTTTTTTTCATTGCATACAATGATTTACCATTGGCTTTAAATTCAACACAATATTCAGTATTTGTATTTTGTACTGAGTAAAAGTTTAGTTGTGAAAAATAATTTACTAGCCAAAATTAAAACTCTAAGCCACCTTCACTGGTTTAAACATTTTTAAGACGACGCAAAATATATAATAAATATGATGCAGCAGATCGACCGCTAATTCACACGAAAACAGCACAAAAAGAATAAATTAATTTAACAATTCTAATAATTTAGAATTAGCAAAATGAAAGGTGTATGGATGAATGGGGACCTGATATGAAAAGGTCGTCGTTGCCCCACAAAATTGCATAATAGCTTGGAGCGAACAGTACTTTTTCTGTTTATTAATAGTTTTTATGACATAAAACTAAACTGCAACACCATCACAATCCTTAAGTCTCTCCCCTAGTATCACGTACTCTTACTGACAACCCACCGCGCCGACTTAAAAGAAAATGTTGCCTCGACCTATTAAATTAATGGATAAAAAAAAAATTACTGGAGGGTACCATCGCTGCATGATTTTCCTGAACTTGTGCTTCATGTGTTATTTTTATTATGTACATAGTGTTATGTCAGTCATATTTTTTACATATTGTATTACGTAATACAGTTAGTAAATTTTCTATTAAATAAAAAAAAACATAAAATTATTTGTTTATACACAATGGAGGGATTTAAATTATGATTTACTTTATAGAATAACATTTACACCAATAATTGTGTTGAGTGATTTTTACTATTTTCATTTTATTATTTCTCAAGTACACAAGTTAATTAGACAACGACGGTTATTTTAGTTATTTTATTTATTATTATTATTTATATTAATTTTATTTACCAAAAGTTGAAAATATATTTAAAAAAATGAAAATATTATAAGTTATAATATAAGGATATTAAAATTTAAAATGTTCCTATGATAGGTAAATAATTACATATTTAACAACATACTAGTTAAATATTATGTATCTACTACCTATACCTAACCCAGTACCTAATTAATGTAAAATATGTAGATAAGCTGTAAGCATCTAATTCTGAATATAATTTTAAAGTATAGAGATGTCTTAAAATTATAGAGAAAATACGTATAAATAGTTTATTAGTAGGTACCTAATACACTGGAAATTAGTATTAAGTTCTGAAATATATTATTATTATTATTATTATATATTATTATAATATATATATTTTATTACTATTTATTATATAATATATTATCAGCATATTATATTATAAGTTTCGTTTTTATGGGAATTTGGTATTTATTACATTCAATTGTTTTTTATTTTAAATATTAAAAAAAAAAATAAGAGTGGAAATAAATTATTGGTTACCCTGAAAACAAATAACATATTTTATAGTATAACATAAGTTGTAATGTCAGTATTTCAAATAATACATTTAATAAAAACAAATAATAAATTTAAAAAATTCACAGCGAAATACTAGGTATTGCTAAATACCCATCATAAATATTGACTTGTGGCACTCAATGTGTTATACTATCATATTATCATGACTTCATTAGGTCACTTCTTCATGGGACGCATTGTATTTGTATATAATATATAATATATTTAAATTGTAATATATTAGTATAAATTATAATACACATTGTAAGTATCTTTAATAACAGTGTATAATATAACTTAGTAGTTATATAAGTCACTATACATGTGATGATTTGGATAGTATTGTAGTAAGTAACCATAATAGTTAATACATATCAAATATCAATGACAAATTAACTCTGAACTTCCATACAAATTACTAACAGTATAATCGTAAAACTTCATACATTTTATTACAAAATCTTGAAAAAGTTTCTTCTGAAGTACAATGGATTAGTAAAGATAAGATATAGATATATTATCTCAATAAAATAATAATCAAATATATTTGTAGTCGTGAATTGTAAATGGTTATTAATACGTTGTCTACATAATATTATTTCTAAATTCTTATAGATTCCACAGATAAAGAAGAAATAAAAGGTACTTAATTTTTGGCTTTTCTTTTATTACTTATTAGTTATTTGTGTGCTGGTTTTAGTATTATACTTTATGGCCTATGCGAATCGATTCTCAGGGTATATTTTATAAATAGTATATTCTATAAAATACAGTTTTCTATAGTTATTCATTATCAATTAATTTTTTTAGAATATGTTGGTACGT